AAAACATATGTAACTCAGCTGGGCACGGTGGTTCACGTCTATAATCCTAGCACTCTGGGAGGCTGAGGTGGGAGGATCACTTGAGCCTGAACAAGAGTGAGACCCCATCTCTACCAAAAAGAAAAAAAAACAAAATCAGCCGGGCATTGTGGCATGTGCTTGTAGTCCCAGCTACTTGGGAGGCTGAGGCGGGAGGATCACTTGAGCCCAGGAGTTGGAGGTTGCAGTGAGCTACAACAACGCTGATGCACTCTACTCAGGGCAACAGAGTGAGACTCTGTCTCAACCAAAAAAAAAAAAGGAAGCTGAAAACATATGTAGTTTATATAATCTTCGGGTAGGGACAGACTTCCTAAGCATGACAGCAAAATCAGATTTTACTGAAGCATACTTTAAAACTTTAGTATATCAATAAAGACCATAAACAAAAGTAAAAGCCAATCAACATACTTGAGAAAAATATGTGCAGTATATAAATGACAAAGGATCAATATTACAAAAAGCCCTTGCAAATCGATATGAAAATATGAATGTTCAGTATAAACATGAGCAAAGTAGTACATAGGCAAGTTACCAGAGATAGAAATGACTGGTAAATGTGTGAAAAAACGTCCAGCCATCATAAAGAAATGCAAGTGAAGCAGCTGGGCCATTTTCCACTTTCAAGTTGGCAAGAGTTCAGCGAGGCCAGATCGCGAAGCCGAGGAATTTGGCTGCAGTTGGTAGATGATGGGGAGCCCTTGAAGGAGTCTGAGCAGGAATGATCTACAGAAGGGGGAATCTGGTGCCTTCTGTATGGTGGCGTAGAGCTGTGAGACTGAAGGCTGGGCCAGAAGTCTAGGTGTGAGGAGGCTGTGGCCCAGAAGGGCACAAAGCACGAGAAGAGCAAAGGAACAGTGGGGTTGCAAGCATTCCGAACAAGTCATCAGCAGGTCTTGGTGGTTAGCGGAGAGAGAAAAATGGAGATAGCCAGTGGCATGGCTGGGAGGACAATGGCATGGATGAAGGAAACAGGGACGCTGAGGACTGAGTGAGGGGAAGTCCAGGATTTGTTTTTGACACTGTGGGTCATTGTGTTAGTCTGGAGTCTCACTATTAGGGACTGGGAACTGACTCAAATGATTAAAGCTACAAAAACATTTGCTGCCCCACTCAGTTGAGAAGTCCTGGGTTAAAGCTTCAGTCGCATCTGGGTGTGGATGTTCAAGCGATATCATCGGGAGTCTTTTTCTTTTTTTCTCCCAAAGAGAGGGCAGAAATGGCCACAAGCAGCTCCAGGCTCACATCCTACCAGCTGAACACAAGTCCTGGGGTGCCTGTGTTGGCCTGGATTGAGAAATGTGTCCATCACTGACCTAATCACTGTGACTCTAATGGAACAGCCTGAGGTCATATGTGTTCCCCTGGAGCCTGGGGTGGGGTCAGCCCTATCCAAACCCATTCAAAGCGGGGAGGGTGGGGGGAATGGTTCACAAGGGAAAATTGGCCGTCAGTCCACAACAGAGTGAGGGTTACTAGAGCTAAGCAGCAAAAATAATAAATGGCCACCTCAATCCACTTCTTGGCATCCAAGATCTTTGCAGACCCCCTCTTCCTGTATAATTTAAAAAATAGTTCCCTGTTTATCATAATGCAACTATCCCCCATAAAACTTAAAGCATAGTCGTCCCATTTCTGGAAGGAGACATTCCAAGTTCTCACCCTGTTTCCACATCCAGCCCCAGTTCAACATCTTGGCAACGGGCTGTTTGGTCAGGTGCTACACTCATGGTCTTTCAGTTTATGGCCAGACCACCGCAATGGAGAACAAAATGGAAAGCTGCAGAAAAAAACCCTCCGAGTTGAAGAGAGGAGGTCAGGAACAAAACCTAGTCTGTGCTCCACATGATTGACTGAATGGCAAGGAAGAGGTTCCCTGGCCTCCAATCTGCTGCTCTGATTCTGTTGTCTCCATGAGAGTGGCCCTGAGGGGTGCAGGTTTGGGGGTTGGGGGTAACCTTACAGGCTGAGTAATCCTGGTCTTTGTTTTCCAGGTTTGGGAGGAGGGGTTGGGTTCTGGCAATACAATTCCCTTACCCATTAGGAGGCTTTTCAGTCAATTTGCATTTGGTCATCCCCAGAGCTATTAACCAAAGCTAGAGTCCCATTGAAAGTTATAATTCTTAGATGAAGTCCCTGGTGGTAGTGTTGAGGAGGGGAGAGGGTGTCTCCTAGCAACAGGCCCCAGTGCTCAGCTCATCCCGGGAGCCTCTGGTTCTGTGGCCTCTAGCTGGGCCTCTGCCACAGGGCAATGCAAAGCCCCAGTTTGGGAGGCAGAGCTCATTTATCCCTTCCCACTCAAGCTGTGTCCCAACGGAAGGCTGCTTATAATGGAAGCTTCTGTGGAGCTGGGAGGGCATAGCAGGAGAAGTTCAGCAGGGCCTGAGGAGTCAAGAGCCTGTCAGGCCCTAGGCTTATCTCCCTCTGAGTTTCCAGCCTCCTTGTCTTTGCTTGAGCTGACTTTAGCTTGAAGCAGAGAACTGGCTCTTAATTACCTGACTCTCAGCCATATTGGATTACTGGCCTTAGGCGGAAAGGGCTTCTCCGAGCCAGCTGAATTTTCTTCCTTTCTGCTTTCAGATGGGTCCCTTTCAGCCAGAGTGTATCTCTTTCTTGCTAGACCTGAGGCCATGGGAAAGACACCCCAACATCCTGACATTTTGCTACAAGTCCCCTAATAAAGTTCTAGCCTTGGTAGGTACATGGCTTCAGCCTCAGATGCAGTGGGAGACAGTTTAATCAGCCATTTTGCTGCTCTGTGACAGGCTCACCAACTTTTGAGCAGGGAACAGGGAAGCAGTGCTATCTTATGCCCCTCCCTTAGTTCTAATACCTTCTCAGGGTCTATTAAAAATTTCCATCTCTGATTCTAATGTATTGGCTAGGATATTTTCCTGGTGCAAATAACACAGACCCAACTGTAACTAGCTTAAGCAAAAAAGGTAGTTCATTGGCTTATGTAACTGAACAGGCCAATATCTCAAACAGTGCCTATGAGAAATCTCTTTCTCCATCTCAGGTCTACTTTTTTGGGTTGGCTTTATTCCCAGGTGTTTCCTCCCAAAAGGAGACAAAGATGGTCCTAGCAGCTCTGACCCTCTCCATCAACTTAGAAACCCGAGCCCGAAAAGGATGCTTTCCCTCAATAGTTCCAGAACAGTCCTGGGGCTCATTGGCTTAACTTGGGTGCTCTGTGCCCGTCCCAGGACTCTGGCCAGGCCTATATCCCATTCCCCAGACCATACGAACTGAGAAACTGGAAATGGAACAATGGTTTCCCAAAGTCAAATCAGGGTGCTGCTACCAGGAGGAGAACTGGGTGCTGGGCTGGTACAGGGAACAGACAGCCACCCATACATCTATGTGGAAATGGCAGGTGGCACACAGAACTCAGGAGCAGGTCAGGATGGAGAGGTCAACATGAGAGTCTTAAAGATGAGACTAAGTCTGTGGGAGGGAACCAGGCTGCCTGTGGGGAGGATAGGGGTAGAGGGGGTGCAAAGGCAGAGCTCAGAGAAACCCCATCAAGAGACAGGAAGTTTAAGAAGGCAACAGGAACAGGAATTCAAAGAACCCAGAGGAAAATTCAAACAAGGCAGCATCATGGCAGTCTCTGAAGATGGAGGGGTCAACAAAATCAGCCGAGGTCCCAGGTGGGTGAAGACCCTTGATGACAACTGGATTGTCTGATTAGCAGGTGGTCTATGACCCCAAGGAGTACAGGGACAACAGAGGGTGGTGGGAGCACGATTGCAGGCAGTTAGGGAGGGGATGGCAGTGAGGAATGGGATGGAGACCCACAAGGCAGGGGAGAGGTGACAAGAAGCCAGAGATGAGGGGTGGGCAGCGGGAGTTGAGGGCAAGGGGTGAGATGCCAGAAAGGCGGGGGGAGGAGGGTTTGTGCCAGAAAGGTGTGGGGAAGACAGATATAGGGTCCTTGGGGTGAAGGGCAGGGCAGGGACACTTACTGGAGGTCTACCTAACCTTTTCTAACTCTGAGAAAAGGACCCAGGTGTCTGGAGTAGCAGGAATGGGAGGGTGTGGTGCAGAACAAACAGTGACACTCACAAGTATCATTCAGTGGAGTGATGTCTTGGTCCTGCAACATGGTACCAATAGTCCAGGCCATGTGATGGGTGTGGTTTGCATGAGATGAAAATAAGCATCTTCTTTTTAAGGATTTTTAAAGATGTAACATACATAAAGTACATACAATGCAGTAATCTTGAGTATGCTGCTTGATAGTTGTTTACATATGTATGCACCTGTATACAACCCCTCAGAGCAAGATACAGAACATTTTCAGCATCACATAAGGTTCCCTCCTGCCCCTTCCCAGTCCATGCAGCTCCCAGGGGTAACCTCTATTCTGATTTTTTCACCAATGCTGTCTGTTCTTGAACTCGATCTCTGAGGAATCCTACAGTATGCACTCTTTGGTCTGGCTTCTTTCGTGCAACACAATGTTGAATGGATTCATCCGTGTCATTGTGTGTACCAATAGTTCCTCTTCTTATTACTGGGGAGTATCCCATTATGAATATGACACAATTTATCTATTCTACTGTTGATGGGCACTTGGGTTGTTTCCAAGTTGGAACCATTATAAATAAAACTAAGTTCTTTGGAAAAAAAAAAAAAAGAAAAATCTCATTCTAAAACCTCATTACCTCTCACTCTTGCACATATACAGGCCATCGCACAGGTACCAGACCAGGCCGGCCCCTCTAACCTCCTCCCGTGTGGGTGATACAGGCGCGGGGACTGGGAGGGGCAGGTGGCAGCAGCGATGCCATCCTCCTAAGACTTACTCCCTCTCTTCTAGCCTCCTCGCCCCTGGCCGCGGGCGTCCTGAGCCTTCCTGACCCCGCAGGGGGGCTCGCCGCGGCCCCCCATGAGCGCGCCTGGCTGACCGTGGGGCGGCCGCGGTGGAGCCAGCGCGCCGCGGGGGCGGCGGGGCCATGGCCTCGCTGGACCTGCCGTACCGCTGCCCCCGCTGCGGGGAGCACAAGCGCTTCCGGAGCCTGTCGTCGCTGCGCGCGCACCTGGAGTACAGCCACACGTACGAGACGCTCTACATCCTCTCCAAGACCAACAGCATCTGCGACGGCGCCGCCGCGGCTGCCGCCGCCGCCGCCGCCGCCTCGGGCTTCCAGCTAGCTCCGGAGCCCGCCGCCCTGCTGGCCGTGCCCGGCGCCCGGCGCGAGGTCTTCGAGAGCACGTCCTTCCAGGGCAAGGAGCAGGCGGCCGGGCCATCGCCCGCGGCGCCGCACCTGCTGCACCACCACCACCACCACGCGCCCCTCGCCCACTTCCCCAGCGACCTGGTGCCCGCCAGCCTGCCCTGCGAGGAGCTGGCTGAACCGGGCCTCGTGCCCGCCGCCGCCGCGCGCTATGCGCTGCGCGAGATCGAGATCCCGCTGGGGGAGCTGTTCGCCCGCAAGTCAGTGGCGTCCTCGGCTTGTTCGACGCCGCCGCCCGGGCCTGGTCCCGGCCCCTGCCCCGGGCCCGCCTCCGCCTCGCCCGCGTCCCCCTCGCCCGCCGATGTGGCCTATGAGGAGGGCCTGGCGCGCCTCAAGATCCGCGCGCTGGAGAAGCTGGAGGTAGACCGGCGGCTGGAGCGGCTAAGCGAGGAGGTGGAGCAGAAGATCGCGGGCCAGGTGGGGCGGCTGCAAGCCGAGCTGGAGCGCAAGGCGGCTGAGCTGGAGACCGCGCGGCAGGAGAGCGCGCGGCTCGGGCGCGAGAAGGAGGAGTTGGAGGAGCGAGCGTCGGAGCTGTCGCGCCAGGTGGACGTGAGCGTGGAGCTGCTGGCCTCGCTCAAGCAGGACCTGGTGCACAAGGAACAGGAGCTGAGCCGCAAGCAGCAGTGAGTAGACCCTTGGGTTCCTGTGGGTGGGTGTGCCCGTGTGAGTCACTGTGCTGCCTGCCACCACTACCACCACCACCACCGTGAGCGTGCCTGAGAATGCGGCCATGGCTTTGTAATATGGAATATGTGGCTATGAGCATGCAGTGGTGATTGGGGCGGCGGGCAGAGGATCGGGGTGGGGGGCAAAAATGTCATGATGACGTGAGTTTGGCACCGTGGGTACATGTCAGTATGACCATGTGCCTTTTTTGAAAACTCTTTCTACTCCTCCTCTGTCCTAGCCAAGGCCAACTCCTGCATTTTGGCACCAGATCCTCCTCTCTTTCATCTACTCAAAGACAGGGCCTGATTCTCCCTTTTCCCTTTTCCACCATCGGATTTAGCCTATGTGCATATCATTTCTAAAAGGATGCAGACATAATGTCATTTCTCCCATCTGCCACAACCCCACCTCTCTGTAAGCTACTGCCGCTTTTCTCTCCTCCTTACGGAAGAACAACTCCTTGTCTCCCATTTCTTTCCTCCTTTTCTCTCTTAAACCCAATCTGATCAGGTTTCCAGTGGTGACTCCAACTCATGTCCGTGGGGACCTTCACGTTGCTAAGGCCAAGCCATCATTATACTTGACCCATCAGCACATTTGACATAGCTGGTCCTTGAAACACTTTCTTGACTTGGCTTCCAGCACACTCTCTCGGGATTTCCTTCTTTTTGTCTACTCCTTTGCAATCTTCTTTACTGGCTTCTCCTCATTTCTCTGGTCTTTAAATGTAAGATTATGAACCACAGACAGTCCCCAACTTACAGTGGCTCAACTTACTGATTTTTTGATCTTATAGTGGTGTGAAAGCTATACGCAATCTGTAGGAACTGTAGTTCGAGTACTCACACAACCATTCTGTTTTTCATTTTCAGTGCAGTGTTCAGTAAATTACATGAGATATTCGAGTTATTAGGCTATGTGTGGGGATATGTGACGCGGCTGTGTGCTCTAAGCGCGTGCCCGGGAGTGCGTTGGGAGGCTGCGCATTGAGGCCACATGTAACAGAGCATGTCTGTGTGAGGCAGATGTGACTGGTTATGGCGTATGGATTGTGCGTTTGGGGCTGGGTGGGTGCGGTGTGTGTGACTTAGAGTGCATGTCTATGTTTCTGTGTGTGCCATTGTGTGGGGCGTGTGCTGGGCCTGTGCTGCATGGACCCATGTGACCGTGGGCAGACACTGCAGGCAGCTGTGCCCTGTGTCTCCCCGCACTGGCCAGGTTCTCCTCCAGAGGGTGGGTGGGCAGCCAGGCCGAGGTCCTGGGGTAAGAGACTGCTCCCGGCCCAGGGAGGTGGTGCAAATCGACCAGTTCCTGAAGGAGACGGCGGCACGGGAGGCCAGCGCCAAGCTGCGGCTGCAGCAGTTCATTGAGGAGCTCCTTGAGCGGGCTGACCGTGCCGAACGGCAGCTGCAGGTCATCAGCAGCAGCTGCGGCAGCACACCCAGCGCCAGCCTGGGTCGTGGGGGTGGGGGCAGCGGCGCGGGCCCCAATGCCCGGGGCCCAGGCAGAATGGTGAGTGCCTTCCCTGCGTTCCCTCCTCTACCTGCACACCTGGCCCCCCACGACCTCCCCTTACACAAGGCCTGACATCCCCCATAAGGCCCCATGCTTTCCTTCTCTGGCCCTTCTCCCACGAGCAGACTCCAGGCCTGGAGTAGGGGTCCAGGAACAAGGAGCCCCTCTGATGGGGCCGGAGTGCCAGCCCCTGAGGCTGTAGTGAGGTGTGACCCAGTGGCCCTGGCCCTTGCGGGCCTATCTCTGCCCATCCCTGCAAATGAGAGCCCAGGAGCCACAAGCTGGGGTCTGGGGTGGTGGGTGGGTGTGGGGAGGGGCTGGTGAGCCTGCCTCTCTGGGCTATCTGTCTGTCCATTTGTCCATCTTTCCCAACCTTTTTCTGTCTCTCTCTTCTCCCTCCTCTTCTATCTTGTGCCCTGTTTCTCCCTCTGTTGCCTCTCATCCTCTTGCCTCCCCCGCCCACTTCCTTTCCTTCCTGCTCTGGGGCCCACAGCGAGACCACCACGGGGGCCCGGCCGTGCCTAGCACATATGCAGTGTCACGGCACGGCTCCTCTCCAAGCACAGGGTAAGCCTTGGGCCTGGCGCGCCCCATGCAGCCCACCCTCACCCTGGAAAGATCCACTGGCCTGTCAGGAGCTTGTCTCCTCCTCCTTCCCCTATCCTCCTTGGGTCATCTGTGTCTTCCTGTCCATACCCAGAGGGAGCTTTTGGAAAGCAGGGTGGGTGGGTTGCCCTTGGCTGCTGGTAGGGGCCGGGTAGGGAGTTCAGGCAGGCCTGGTGCCCCTCACCCCTTACTGTCCGGTCCATCCCGCCCCAGGGCCTCCAGTCGTGTGCCAGCTGCATCCCAGAGCTCAGGCTGCTATGACAGTGACAGTCTGGAGCTGCCCCGGCCAGAGGAGGGGGCCCCTGAGGACAGTGGCCCTGGGGGCTTGGGCTCACGGGCCCAGGGTGCCAACGGGGGCTCAGAAAGGTCCCAGCCCCCTCGCAGCTCAGGCCTGCGGCGCCAGGCCATCCAGAACTGGCAGCGCAGACCCCGCCGACACAGCACTGAAGGGGAGGAGGGGGACGTCTCGGACGTGGGCTCCCGAACCACTGAGTCAGAGGCTGAGGGGCCATCAGATGCCTCCCGTGCTGGGCCTGTAACGGCTGGGCCATTGAGCAGCTGCCGGCTCTCAGGTAAGTCCCGGGAGGGTGGGCAGAGAGGCCAGCCTTTCCCATGGTGGGGGGCCCTATCAGGGGACTCAAGGCTGAGGCAGTGAATCTCCTGGGCTCCTGCACCTCCCTTCCCCTTTCCCCGGACTTGCCCACCCCTCCTATGGTGCCCTCTATGCCTGGGGCAGGTACTTGAGTGACAGGGCAGGGCTGCTGGCATAAGGGTGCCATATCTGGGGGGCGTCCATTCACATGGTGGGCTCATTAACTTTTTTTTTTTTTTTTGAGACAGAGTCTCACTGTGTTGCCCGGGCTAGAGTGCCCTGGCGTCAGCCTAGCTCACAGCAACCTCAAACTCCTGGGCTCAAGCGATCCTTCTGCCTCAGCCTCCCGAGTAGCTGGGACTACAGGCATGCGCCACCATGCCCGGCTAATTTTTTCTGTATATATTTTTAGTTGTCTGATTAATTTCTTTCTATTTTTAGTAGAGACAGGGTCTCGCTCTTGCTCAGGCTGGTTTGGAACTCCTGAGCTCAAAGGATCCGCCCGCCCGCCTCGGCCTCCCAGAGAGCTAGGATTACAGGCGTGAGCCACCGCGCCCGGCCGGCTCATTAACTTTTATAGGGAGTCGCTGAAGGCGCTGAAGCCCGGGCGCAGTCGAGGAGAGCCACGGGCCACATTCACAGGAGGCCCTGCTCACGTGTGGGCGGGTTAGGAGGTTAGAGGGTTAGTTTCAGGAGTGCGGCTGCACCTCCTTCGACTGTTCTAGGCAGGCCCTCACCTGCCTTCGGGTTCTGCACACCCAGTTTATGCTCTGGCTCCCCCAACCTCTTTCCTCCTCCAAATCTGGCGCAGCCACCTCACATAGGGGTTGAGTTTGGACTGTTGGGTGATATACAGCCTTAAAAATAAAGTTTAGGCCGGGCGCGGTGGCTCATGCCTATAATCCCAGCACTCTGGGAGGCCAAGGCAGGAGGGAGGATCGCTTGAGTTTAGGAGTTCGAGACCAGTCTGAGCAAGAGTGAGACCCCCATCTCTACCAAAAAGAAAAATTAAAAAAAAAACAAAAAACCTAGCTGCTCATTGCGGCGCGTGCCTGTAGTCCCAGCTACTTGGGAGGCTGAGGCAGAAGGATCGCTTAGAGCCCAGGAGTTGCAGGTTGCAGTGAGCTACAATGACGCCACTGTACTCTACCCAGGGCGACAGAGTAAGACTCTCTCTCAACAACAACAAAAAAGGAAAAAAAGAAAGTTTACATGAAGAAGGGACACCTTTTTCTAATTTGAAAAGTTAGGGCTGGGGTACTGTAGAGGAGGGGAAGCAGAGGCCCTTGTCCTTCCTCCAAGGTGCTGGGCCCCCAACACAGTCTTTTGTGCCCATTCCTCCTGCAGTGCCTACCCTACCCCAGCTCCCCACTCACACTCCCACGCTGGCCCTTGTCCCTCCACGCTCACCTTTGACCCCCTGGTATTCTGCAGCCCGCCAGGAGGGAGGCAGTGGACGGGGTCGGCGAGCAGAGAGGGGCAGCCCCTCACGCTCCAACGAGGTCATCAGCCCGGAGATCCTCAAGATGCGAGCCGCCCTCTTCTGCATCTTCACCTACCTGGACACGCGCACACTGCTGCATGCCGCCGAGGTCTGCCGGGACTGGCGCTTTGTGGCCCGCCACCCCGCGGTCTGGACAAGGGTGCTGCTTGAGAATGCACGCGTCTGTTCCAAGGTGCCCACCCCTGCCTGCCACCCTCACCCTGTTGTGAGCTCGCCTTTCCCCCTGGTAGAATCTGGCCCCTCAAGGTCTGGTCCTTGCAACCCTTACAGCACCGCAGCTCCAGCCTGGCTCCCTGAAATGCTCCCATGGGGGCTCCCGTCCTGGGGCTGTCCCTCCTCCAGCCAGCCAAGCTCAGACTTCCTCATCTCCAAATACCCTTCTCCTTACCACAGTTCCTGGCAATGCTGGCTCAGTGGTGCACCCAGGCCCACTCGCTGACGCTGCAAAACTTGAAGCCCCGGCAGCGGGGAAAGAAGGAGAGCAAGGAGGAGTATGCTCGGAGCACCCGGTGAGGCCTATAGTGGGTGGGTGGGTGGGTGCTCCTGGACCACAGACCTGGAATTAGGTGAGGATGCTTCCCAGAGGAGGAGGTGGCTATAAGCAGCTCCCTGACCTCTTGATCATCCCCAGGGGCTGCCTGGAAGCGGGGCTGGAGTCCCTGCTGAAGGCGGCTGGGGGGAACCTGCTGATCCTGCGCATCTCCCACTGTCCAAACATCCTCACCGACCGTTCGCTCTGGCTGGCCAGCTGCTATTGCCGTGCCCTGCAGGCTGTCACCTACAGGTGGGTGCACCATGCCCAGGCCCCAAGGGATCCCTAGGCACTGCATAGCCTTCCTCCAGAGTTCTCAGGCAAAGGGCCCCAAGAGCTCTGTGGCTCAAGGGAAGGAAGCCTTGGCAGGAGCAGAGGCCACCAGGGTGGACAACTCCAGCTTTGTCTTTCCAACAGGAGTGCCACAGACCCCGTGGGCCATGAAGTCATTTGGGCCCTGGGCGCAGGCTGCAGAGAGATTGTCTCCCTCCAGGTGGCACCACTTCACCCCTGGTGAGCCCTGGGAGCAGGGAGGGGAAGGGAACGGTTGGGCCTGGTCTGGGGCTGAGGACTGAGCAGATCTGATCCCATTCCATAAGCTGTTGGGGAGACAGATTCACACACATTGATTTGCACATAATGCATTGAGGTGTTGGGTGCAGGGCTTTAGAATCAGACCTGGGATCCTGTCTTGGCTTACTGGTAGTGTCACTTTGGGCAACCCAGTTGCATCTTAGTTTCTCAAACTGAAAAGTGAAGGTGATGTTAGGATTCTGTTGACTTTATTAGGGCTATTGCTGGCCCCAGTGAGATCATGTACACAAAACTTTCAGGGTCCACAGTAAGTGCTTGGTAAACACTAGATAAAATTAGCCAGGTTTGTTTTGCATATGAAAGGCAGTTCGGGGAGGTCAGTGTATAAAGTTCAAAAGAGCTGGTTGTTGGAGAACCCAGGGTGTGAAATCACATCTCCTCTACTTGGAGTTCCTCAAGCACCCCAGGCTCCTTCTCTCCCTGGCCAGCTGCTAGTGCCATCCCCTGCAGGCTGTCACACGTGGGTCCACCCTACCAGAAACAGGCCCATGCTCATCCTCGCCCCCTCCCCAAGTCCTCTCTCTACACGACAGCTCCGCCCAGGTTGTCCAGTGTGCCTTCAGCAGCGCCCTGGCTACGGTGTCACTGCTCCCCTGCTTCGATTCCCACTGCACCGTGTCCTGATCCCTGTCGTCCATCCTGCAATAATGTCTCTATGTTTTGATCTCCTCCTCTAGACTGGCGGTTCTCAGGGCAGAGTCTGGGAATGTCCATGTCCATATCCCTGGTACCAAGTGCATAGCAGATGCCAGGGACCTGTCTGTTGCCTGGGCGAACACTGAGGGATGAAATGTTCAGGGAAATGGCAAGTTTGGTCGAGTGCAGCGGGCAGGGCCAAGCAACGAGTATGGAAAGGAAGGTGGGGCAAGGTCAAGAAGGGCCTTGCTACCAAGTTTAGGTTTTTGCATTTTATCTAGAAAGCACTAGGAAGCTATTGAAGGGTTTTAGATTTTAAGAAAGGGATTAAAATCAGACTGTAATATTCTGTGTCCGGGCCCCACAATAGATTTCCACTCCTTGAGGGCAGGGACCATGTCTGTATTGTCACCACTGTATCCCCAGGGCCTGGCTCAGTTCTTCTTTTCTGTCTAGGCACATGATAACTGCCGAAGGCTGGAGTGAATGGACGTAGGAAGGAACAACTCACAGCGCGGAGGGTGAATTGCAGGGAGACTAGTTATAATACAGAATGCCGATGCTCTGAACCGTGGGTTCAAGAGTTACTTAGGAATCAGACTCTGCAGGGCTTGGCAGGAGATGAGGGGAGACGAGTCAGGGATGATCCCAGTTTTCTGACTTGACCAGCTGGGTTCTTGGTGGCACACTTTCCTGAGGCAGGGAAAGGTCCCAAAGGAGGAGCATACTCAGGGGGTTAAGCATCCAGGGGCTTCCCTGACGGCTCCCCCCTCCCTGTTCTCCAGCCAGCAGCCCACGCGCTTCAGTAACCGCTGCCTGCAGATGATTGGTCGCTGTTGGCCCCACCTCCGGGCCCTGGGGGTTGGGGGCGCCGGCTGTGGGGTGCAGGGCCTGGCATCACTTGGTAAGTCTTTCCTTGGGACTTGGGTGGGGATTGGTGAGAAGAGGTGTGGGTACAGTGCTACCTTGTGAAATCCCACAGGGGCTCGGGGCTGCAGCCTGGGTGGCGGCAGGGGCCTCAGGGTGCTGGCCAGGAGGTGACCTGTGGAGTTTATGAACAGGGCCTTCCCTTGTTCCTCTTCTCAGCAAGAAACTGCATGCGGCTGCAGGTCCTGGAGCTTGACCATGTGTCGGAAATCACCCAGGAGGTGGCGGCCGAGGTCTGCCGGGAAGGCCTGAAGGGACTGGAGATGCTGGTGCTCACGGCCACCCCAGTCACCCCCAAGGCCCTGCTGCACTTCAACAGTGAGCAATGGGGGAATGCGGGGCAGGGGATGACCACCACTCGTCACGGTGCCCTGTCAGCAGGTAGCATAACCAATTCCCTGTTGCTCCTGATCAGCGCCAGGGCAGACTGGCCAGGGTTCTAGCCTGGCTTTGCCACCAATGCCTTCTGAGGACAGTATGACATTCAAGGCCCTCCAGCATCTGGTCCAAATGGTTCAGTTCAACAGACATTTGTCACCCTACAAAGAGACAACGTGCTCTACCCACATTGGAGGCATGAGCTGTTGGCCCCATGTGAGCCTCTAGCCCAGGGCAGAGGCGGGGGAAGACGGGTTAGGAGCACAGGTTCCCGGCTGGACTGACCTAGGTCCCAGTTCTGGCTCTGCTGCTCATTAGCTGTGTGACTTTGGGCAAGTTTCCATACTTCCTTGAGTTCTGTATTTCTGTCTGCTAAGCTGACTTTCTAGAAGGGGTAGGAGGATTAAATGAGGCAATGTGTGTAAACACCTCCAGGATAAGTCTCGGGGTGAAGACTGTCCTCTCCCTGGACTCCAAATCATGCCACCTGTGGGTTCCCACCTTTCTCAGACCACCCACTCCACTCGCAGTCACTCCTCTGCCCTCATTGAGGAGGAAGGTGCCCAGCTCCGGCTGCTCCTGCCCAAATGAGACCACCATCTGGGACCCTTTGACTCCTGGGAGGACCCCATGCCCTGACCACTCAAAAGTCCCTTGACCTTCTTTCCAGGACCCTCTTCTTCCCTCCCCTTCAGCCACATGGTCACACCCTGGACCTCGCCATCAGAACTAACTATTCAGCCTCCAAAATCATGACCTCCAGGCCCTCCTCAGCCTCCCTGACTTCATGAGATATCTGGTCCCTTGAGCCCTCTGCTCCCAACTGTTTCCCCTGCCTCCCTGGCTTCAAGCTCCAGCCTAGACCTCTCAGCCTCACCTCAGCCTGGCAGTTCATTTCCAAATGAACCTGGCAGTTCATTTCCAAATGCCCAGACCACAGTACAACTGTCCCCTCTGCCAGGGAAGTTCCTAGAGTCCTTGAACAATTGGCTGTTTCCCACTCACCCTCCCAGAGTCCACTGTAGCCTCTCCCCTTCCCTAACCCCATCACCCACCTTCTCCCCACGTCCAGCTGTGAGCCCTGGATGGCGTGGGCCAGCTCCCCTTGTTTATGCTCCCAGTGCCTGGCACACGATTGTCTCTCAGTGGGTGTCTGACTTCATTAGTGAGAGGGCAAAGGAGGCATCACCCATGGCCCATTGCCCAGGCCAAATATGGGTCCCCCTTACCCACCTCTTCTCAGGCATTTGCCGGAACCTCAAGTCCATCGTGGTCCAGATTGGGATTGCTGATTATTTCAAAGAGCCTAGCAGCCCTGAGGCCCAGAAGCTGTTTGATGACATGGTGACAAAACTCCAGGTGAGGGGTGGGCTCTGAGACCACCTAAGACCCCAAGCGGCATTCCTCGACTAGGGCTGGCAGCCTGGGTGACTGTGGCGGGAGGGCCCCACCTGCCTGGCTCTGAGAGAGAACTAACCCAGGGTTTGGTCCGCAGGCCCTGCGACGGAGGCCGGGTTTCTCTAAGATTCTGCACATCAAGGTGGAAGGTGGCTGCTAACCCGGGTGGGGGGCGGCAGGGCCCCTGCCAGCCCCACACCAGGGCACTCTCTTTGGACCTCCGGAGGGACCCTGGTTTGGACTAGACCTTCGGAGGCCTACTGTTATCCCTGGCTTCCAGAGAGGGGTGACAGTTTCCTGTCCTTCTCCTGGAACTGCAGAGCAACAGGCCTGACCCAGGGTACTGCCTCTCTAGGACAGGGGCTCAGACAAAAGCTGCCCTCGACCCCCACCCTACCCCCAGCTGGAGCAGCCTTCTGGCACAGCCAGCGAGGAGCTGTCCCCACCAGCACCTGGTGTCATCACCTGGAGGATCTGCAATAACCACCCAGTGGCTCCTCAGCTGCTCAGGCAGGCCTTTCCTTCTTGCACCCAGCCTCCCAATCAGGGGCCTCTGCCAGGCTCCAGCCAGAGGAGGCCCCAGAGGCAGCTCAGACTTGGCAAGGAGGGCTCTTCTCCCCATACGCTGTCCCAGCCTTCTGTGGGGCATCCCCTTTAGACAGCCTAGGCTGAGTCCACACTCTCCAGGGCTAACACAGGCAGGCCTAGGGGCCTGGGCACAGGGTCAGCCAAAAGCTGGGGCATGGCAGTGGGGTAGTGGGGATGGGTTTGGAAAGGAACAGTCACCCCGAATTTCTCCCCAGAATGAGACCACCCCTCCAAGGTGGGGAATTGCCAGGTGGAGAAAACTTATTTACTGCTGTAGGAAGACAAGATCCCTCCTCCCAACCCAACCACCACATACCCCACCACATTCCAGAGCTAAATTCAGAGCTGAAGGTGCATGTTTCTATACCTATTATTCATTCCTGAGGGACCCTCTGGAGGGTCAAGGTCCCAGCCCTGGGAAGCCCCTGTCAGCAGTGAGAAATAGTTCCCATCTTCAAGGAATTTCCCTCTGATCAGGTGCTTGGGCAGGAATTGGATGGCCTTCGGGTCCCCACGGCCATCTGGGAGGGAGGCACTGGGCTGCCCTCTGTACTGGGGCCTGGAGCAAGTTAAGAGGAGGGTGGTTTGCTTTGCTTCCTTGTCCAGCGAACTTGCTTAAAGATATAGCTGTGGCAGGGAGCCAGACCCATGGGGCCAAGGAAAAGGAAGAACATTCTCAACAGACTTGTTCCCCCTTCCTCAGTCTCCACTGGCCCCATGGCTAAGGGCTGTGTTGGGGGTCTTCTGCCTAGGGCCAGTGCTGGGGCCTGGGCTGGAGCCACCTGGCTGAGAAGCCACAGAAAGTCAGTGGAGGTTTTCACTGGCCCTTGCACAATCCCCAAAGGACCAAGGCTCCAAAGACTGAAGTCTCCCCAGTTCTTCCTTAGAACTCCCGCAGGGGTTCAGAGGTTACGGGTCCTTCCAACCTTCATTTGGAAAGTTCTTTCAAACATCCAAACTAGATCCATGTAGGTTTCCTTCTCTCCTGTATAGGATTGGCTCCCAGCCCTAGCCATTAGGCTGCTGGTCCCAGCTGGCGCTGGGGCCATCTCATTTCCCAGTCCTTCCCAGGGACCCAATTTTCTGCCACAGCCTGGCTTGGACATCAAGACCCAGCCGTAGGTTACCTTGTAATGAGTCCTCCAGAGCTGAGACCCCACGGGCACAGCAGTCTACTCCAGCTCCCCTGGCTTCACTCCCTAGCACTGTCCCAGGTCTTTTTATCATTGCTGACTTTTTCTCCTGTGGCTTGTTCTGTCCCTGCTCTTTGAAGACCTCAAACACCAAGGGTGTCATGTTGGCAATTTCCTGTCCAGTCCTGCACGAAGCCTTGGCGTATGTGACACCCCTGCGCCCCTACCCCAGAGCAGCTGGCTCCATTGGCTCCCACCTCCCCAGCCTTGTCCTCAGGAGTCACAGGAAGGAGCAGCACAGCTTTCCTCTCCTCCAGAGGCCTGGAAGGGAGGTGGAGGCCCACTCAGGGCCTGGCTGCCCCTGTTTGCCTGGCCTGCCTTGCCAGCTACACTCCTGTAGCTCCTGCTCTCATGACCCCAGGACCAGAGGTGCTGTCCTCCCTATCTCCTGGACAAAGCACAAAAGGATGCCCTGCTTGGCCTGAGCCTGCCCGACTGAGGAACCTTCTCTGCCCCAGGGTACCCTCTATCCCTGAATATAAGGCTTTGGGCAATTTTGCTCTGGATGGTACCCACTGGAATGCCTGGCACCAGCCCTAGGACAGGAGGTTGGGGTGCATAGGCAGTGAGCTAGGGTGGAAGAAAAGTGGTGCTGAAAAGACTGATGCTATTCGTACGTTCATTCACTCATTCATGCAACAGTACTGAGCACCACCAGCGCTAGAGGCAGAAGGATGAACAAGACCCCATTTTGCCTGGTGTGAAGTCCACCCCACGGGTTTGGCTCTTTCCAGGAAACCCCCTAAGTTCTCCATCCTGTGTTTTCTGGCTGTGTGTGTAAAGGATGTGTCATGTTGCACAGGTCTGAGCCCTTGCCAACAGGAATGACACATCAGTGTGTCCCATCGTACTTGCACCCCTCTGGCCGACAGACGTGCACGCTGGCCTTCGCGCATGCCTTGAGCCCTGGCAGCTTTGCAACACCCTGCCCCCACCAGCAACTTGATGCTCTTCTTTTGTTCTCTGCTCAGGGGGATGAGCCCTGCTGCTGAGTGGGGAGTTTTGGCTTGCTGGGACGCTCCACATTTATTCACTTCTTTGGCAACCATACAACCAAGGCTGAGGATGGGAACAGGGACAGAGGGCCTGGCCATCCCTGGAAGCACCTCATCCCATCTGTACCCACCCAAAGGGGAGCTGTCGTCCCCATCATACCTAATAAGATGCAAAAAAGGAGTATCAGAGAGCAAACCAAGGCAGGCCCTGCTCCAGGGGCCCCAGGTGTGTGTATAGGTCCTATGAGTGGTGGCCACTTCGTGTCCCTACCACACAGCCTGGCCCTGGCACCTGGGAGGTTGGCATGCTTGGCTTGAGTACTTCATGCTTTTTTTAGGCTGCTTCTCCACAACACTGGCAGGAAATGAAGATGCATATATATGCATCCCTGCAGGGAAAAAGTGGGCTGCCCAGAACCACAGCTTTTCACTGGCCAGGAGAGACCACCTAAGGAGCAAGGCAACTCATGTTTTCTTAGTCCTGCGATAGTGGAGTCTGAGCCAGCCCCTCAGGAATTGCTTCAAAAGGAAAAAAAAAGAAAAAAAAAAAGCCTCTTCCCAAGGCCTGCTCCTCCAAGGTTTGGCTCTGTTCTTTGCCTTTGGGTCCTGCCTGTCCCCCGGTCGTGGTCTCTAGTCCTCTGGGCCACAGGTGGGGAGCTGCCCAGGCCCCAATCCAAGGCGCTAAGTCAAAGGAGACCTTCCCAGAGTGACTATTGGTGCCAAAGTCCCAGTTCCTGGTGGACTTGGGGTGAACACAGGAGATGGTGAGTGGGTGTATGGCCCAAGTGCCCAGAGATGTTAACTTGAACCTATGGGATCTTTCCCAGCTTCAGTCCCTGGTGAGTGTGACTTCCCTCCCCTGGGGGTCTGCTTCTCTTTTTATCCCTAGTGGACATGCTTTCTCACCCAGCCTTGTTCCAGGCCTGTATTTCTGTATATATTGCTGTGTATTGTGTGTATGTATTTATTCCTGGACAAGTGTGTTCATCTGCAGCCCTTGCCTGAGGATAAGGTTTAGGATTGGGTGAAGATCAGACTACCAGGGTCAACTACACAACTACTCCCTCCCCAACCCCTTGGGACCTCAGCCCGTCCCAAAGCAGCCCTGACAATCAGGCAGGCTCCCCACCATGAGGCCAAGCCTCCTCAGCCACTGCCAGCATGGCCCTGGGGGAGGCTTGGCCTCAGGCTCCCCAGCCTTCGCTCTGCCCTGGCAGGGGTCTTGTATCCAGGGGCAGAGGCCTGAGGTGACCCAGGCTTGCCTTGTGGCTGATGCCAGCAGGCTTGGTTCTAGTGGGCACCCCTAGTGGGGACCTCCACAACTGGCCCCTAGGCCCTGCCTTCCCACACAGCCAGGCTGCCATGGGCCTGAGCAGTGAGACGGTAGCTTCCCCACCTCAAGCACATCAGGTAGAGGGGTGGAGAGCAACTTTTGGTTTTACTTTTGTTTCTAAAGTGGTGCCTGTACCTCCAGCCCCCAGGGGGCCTTCCCTGGCCCCACTTGTCTGCCCCACCCAGGCATCGCCATCCCAGCACTTTGCTCCACGTCACCTGTAGATGCCCTTTGCCGAATGTACCTGAGTGTATGTATTTAAAAGGACTCACGTGGGCATCAGAGAATTTATGGCTCTGTATCCAATAAAAGATGGTGAAACTGGTCTATCTGCCCCAGGGAAGTAAATGGTATGTGGCCATATTTGTCAGTCTGTGTCACCACAGCCTTTCTGCAGCTCAAGCACATGGAGGCAGATAGCCCAATCGGCAGCAGTGGGGCGAATGGAGTATTAGGAAGACTTGTCTCAGGACTGCAGAGATCACTGGAGGTGGCTGCCACCAAGGTTACTGTCCATGCCATAGCTCAACCCTGCTTTTGGTATCTGTATCCTGACAGAAAGCCATGGGACGTGTCATTGCTGGCTCTCCAATGGGAGAGGCCATCTTCCAGGGCAAACCCAGCACAAGTACAGCAGGCGCAGGCACTGCCCAGCCCCCCCCTGGCTTGGCCACGTCCTCAGGAGGCTCTGGCCAGCCAACTGGGATTTGGCCAGGAAAGACCAAGCTGCCAACATGGCCTGGCCTTGACTTCCTCATTTTACAAAATGACCTTGACCCACTGGTTTGATTACTAGAGTCCTGAAATATTTAAAATCAGAAAAGGAACAAGTGTTTAGGCTTAAACTGTGGCTCTCACATTAAGCAAGTAGAATGAGCATTTAAGCCTCACAACTCTTTGAACCAGCTATTCTTATCATACAGGTGGAATAGTTGAGACTCAGAAAATTTAGTCTACCTAAAGACCATCAAGTTAGGAGTGCTGCCAGACTCCAAAGCCTGAACCTGGCCATAACCCCATCTGCTCTGGAGTCCATCTAACCAGGAGTGGCTGGGATCAGAGATTTTTATTATTATTTTCACCACTTTCCAGGTTCAGGCAGTGAAAACGTCAATGGCTCAAGGTGACATAATCATTTACCTCCAGCTTCAACAATTAACTAACTACAGCTAGCTGCAGGCCAGCCATCTAGACTAGTATAAATGTGCAGGCTGCTGGACCCTGCTGGAATTCCAGTTTACCTACCGGCCATTCCAAACTTCCATTAGTCACAGGAAAGCAGAAGAGACCCCTAAGATCACTGGTGGCTGAAACGAAGAAACCAGATGGGGGCCCTTTCAGTCATCTTCTTAGTAGACTTCCAAGACGTCACCAGAGTTTAGAGAGAATGAGGCCTCTCCAAAACTTCCCCCTCAGAATCCTCAACTTCGACATCGTGAGTAACAGGGAACGAGAGACTGAGCCACAATAACACAGAGGCAGAAGGGGCAGACAAGGTAATGCAACCCATTTACTCAAACCAGAAAAACCCTGGGAGCGGTACCTGGCTAGGCCAGGGCTAAATAAGATCATCTCAAAAGAAAAGGAAGCAACTCCCTGTCTCTTAGCCACTTCTGGGACTAAGAATGCAACGACAGTGACACCTCCAGACAAGGGCCGCTCTAGTGGAGCTCGCCCCAGGATGCTCTTTTCTACCTACTGGGCAGGTGCACACAAAGCTAAAGTTCTGAGCTGCAGTCAAACATTTATGAGTAAAACTAACACGCCAAAATAACTGACAAAGTTAATTCTAAGTCTTAAGTTTTATTTAAATAACCTCCAGTGAGAATAGAATGGGCCAATTACTACCCTTTCCTTGTAACACCAATTAACCAAGCCAGGGAGACTAAGTGCACCCTGCAGCCGACCAGTCACGTGATGGGTGGGATGCCTCTCAAAGGGGACGGCCACGACCTCGGCCCCGGCCAGCTGCTGGGGGAGCGTCCACAGTTGAGCGGGGGTTCTTGATGGTTTCATCTACGGACACGATAAGGCATGCCGCCTCTGAGGCTGCCGTCAGGGCATTGATCCGCACCATAGCTGGCTCCCACACGAAGGCCTCAAAGTTGTCAGCAATGTCCTCATTGTTGATGTCCACCCCATACCATGTGCCCCCCTAGAAGAGCAGGAAAAGAAGGGAGATAATATGGAACTGCTCTCATATTTCCTCCTATATACTGGTACTCCAAAAGACTTGGACTGTTAGAAATCTTCAGGCTCTCTGAACTTGACAGCATTTCCCCCAGGAAGACAGCATCTTCCTATAGCATCCCTTCAGGAACCTGGAAGCACCCCTACTCCTGCCAACCACTCCATTCCAAGCCTGGACAAACTGATCACCCACGAGCTCTAGGGCCTCCATCAGGCAAGCTGCTGTATTTTGGGCAGGTGCCATCCTCAGGTTACCTGAGGACTAGGTCTATCAAACTGAGTTCTCAAGAGAAACAAGAATGGATTCTTTTCTAATCCCTCATCTCATTGCTTAAATTAAGCCCCATTTTATAGATGAGGAAACTAAGACACAGACAGGTAAAGTGACTTGCTTAAAGTCCTAACACAAGCCAGAAGCAAGGTCATTCAGTAAGTGTAGCTATCACAGTGCTGACCACTTAAACATATCTGCTTAGCAAACAGAGAAATTAAATTCTCAGAGGCTGAAGTAACTAGCCCAGGATCACACCTGGAGGTGGTGAAGCCACAGCAGAACCAGAGATCAGCAGGGCTCTGGAGTGCTTCACGACCACACTAAGAAACGCTCTGGGCCGGGCGCGGTGGCTCACGCCTGTAATCCTAGCTCTCTGGGAGGCCGAGGCGGGTGGATCGTTTGAGCTCAGGAGTTCGAAACCAGCCTGAGCAAGAGCGAGACCCCATCTCTACTAAAAATAGAAAGAAATTAATCGGACAACTAAGAATATAAGAAAAAATTAGCCGGGCATGGTGGCGCATGCCTGTAGTCCCAGCTACTTGGGAGGCTGAGGCAGGAGGATCGCTTGAGCCCAGGAGTTTGAGGTTGCTGTGAGCTAGGCTGACGCCACGGCACTGTAGCCCGGGCAACACAGTGAGACTCTGTCTCAAAAAAAAAAAAGAAACGCTCTGTATGAGGTCCTCTAAGCAGGAGGCTGCAGGGTTCCTCTTGCCGCACCATAAGGAGCGATCATGCTCTTGGTAGAAGCACTGAAGAAACCCTGGACCTCCAGCCCTGGCTTCCCCTTGACTTCAGAGACAAAAGTTAGTGGGTACTGGATGCAGCTGCAGCCTATCACCTGGGTACAGCTTGTGTAAGCACAGCACGCACTCAGAATCTAGCCCCAGGCACCCACCAATCCCTGAACCCTGAGGAGACAAAGGACCCACCTGGGCATGACGAGCCCGCAGCTTGTTGAGGATGTTTGTGGCATCAAAGCCAGCATTATCACACAGCTGGCGTGGGATAATCTCCAGGGCCTTGGCATATGCCCCAATCAACAGCTGCTGCTTTCCAGGAATAGTCCTTGAGTAATCCCGCAGGTACTTGGAGAGTTCCATCTCAATGGCCCCGCCACCAGCCACCACCGAATCATTCTGCAGAGACCAGATCACCTCTCAATTTAAGTGATTCCTGGTCCAAGATCCAAGGTGGGCCACTCACCAGGCCCTCCAGCCCAGAGAGTGGTTCCTCATTCCTGCCCCTCACCCAAAGGCCCAGAAGCCCAAACATGGCTCCTGTCTAACACATGCCAACTTTAATCCAGTGAGCCTTATGGTTTCTGACCGTCTTCAAGGTCACCTGTAGCTCGAGGGTACTGGCACGATCACTGGGACGGCTGACTACAGCAGCTCCACAGTTTGCTAACAAATCTTAGCTTTTAAGGCAGCATAACCTATTTTTGAGAGACTGAGGCTCAGTTTCTCTTCGATTTGTGGGGCAAAGCAGGGCCCACCACACCACCCCAGGTGGGCAGGTTACATAGGGAAGGAATCACCACACAAATACAGGGTCTGATCAGCTAAGGCACAGTAGGCTGTGCAGGAAGGAGGCCATCAGCCCAGTACCTTACCTTGATGGCCCTTCTGACGATCATGATGGCATCATGCAGGGACCGCTCTGTTTCCTCCATAAACTGCTCAGCACCACCACGGAGGATGAAGGTGCATGTCTTGGCCTTGGGGCAGCCAGTGAAAAAATTGTACCTATGTCCAGGATCAAATCATACACACATGAACTCCTTTCTGCCACCATCTTGCTGTACTGTCCTCACTGCCAAGCCCTCCTAGTACTCAGTAGCTACTCTTACGTCCTTCACTCAGGCTGCCCAATTCCAATTTAAAGACATTTTCTTGGAAAGCTCTGGGGCTGCACCACTAGGGCATAAAAGATTGTGGAGTCAGACTTTAGACCCAAGTAGGTCTTTTTCTCTCCTGTAACGCTGAATATGTCTGAACTCTTCATGCCAAAAAGGTGAGACTTTGAAAAAAGAGCACTACAAGCTGTATACTACACCCAAAACATGGCAGAAGGCTAGGCCCAGGTAGATATTTTGACCTCAGCCTACAGATAGAACAGGCCTTCGGCTTACCTTTCACCGCCAATTTGGGTCTCTTCAAACACCTGGCAGCGGCCCAGCACATCTGCTGACAGAGCATTCACACTGGTCTGGATTGAACCTCCACAAGCCTAAGGCACAAGGAAGGGAAAGATCTAGCAGTGAAGGTTCACAATGAGCCCAGTTTCCCGCCTCTTAGTCTCAAAGCCAGTTCCTAGGCTGGACTCTGCCACGGAGCCCCAGAGACCGCTGCACTGGATAAACTGCCCTTTCCCTTGAGCTCCAAGTGACCCTTCCCCCTCTCTGAGAGTTGAAAATAAAATAGAACTAAAACACATGAAAGGCAAACAGACCTAGTTAAAAGGAGATGGGGCTCCCTTCAATTTGGCTTATACCTTCTCCCCCAAACTAGGGTGCTTTGGGCCCAAAATTGGAACTCAGGAACAGTACTTTAAACTTAAAAGCATCTTTGTGAGACGCTCAAGAAAGGGAAGAAATCTAGCTGGGAGCATCAATATCCGAGCTCGTCCAGCTAATCGTAGCATTACTACTAGGTTCTCTCACAAACTGGATTTATTTCCTGACTTGTTCTGGCTGGACTAACTTTAAAGCAGTTTCTGTCACTGAGTGCACACACACAATGGGAATGGAGTGCTGCCTGGCAAAAAGAAAGAGTTTTAAGACAGGGCTGGATTCCCATGCCAACCTGACAATGCACTCTGTTACAACAGTGGTGAATGAAAACCCCTTCAGGGCCACGAAGGCCAAGCAGC